TAGTTGCTGCAGAAACTATCAGTGTCTTATTTGTTTTCAAAAAGACAAAGAAGACACCTTCTTTTTGTCCACTCATAGAGATTTCTCTCCTGTGTGTTTTAGTAACTATTCTTGTATGTTGTATCTTTGCAGGCCTTGGGGAGTCCTGGGGTCATGTGAGCCGCAGCTCTCTGGATGGTGTCAGCCTGGAATTAGGCTCCCATCTTTTACAGGTACTGCCTGAAGGCTTCACTTGTAGTACATTGAAAGAATATTATTATTATTATTATTATTATTATTATTATTATTATTATTGTTGATGTTGTTAAGCCAAGCTGGATGGACTGTGTGTATGGAGGGGGGCTTGGTAGCTGTCACCATCTGCCTCCTGCTGCCTTCATTCTCCTTGCTTTGAGAGTGAAATGAGTTGAACACATTCCTGGTCACGGACACATCATGCATGTCCTGCACCCCCCTCACAACAGCAGCAACACAATGGAATACATCTGCAGGGCTCCAGGCTAACAAAAAGGAGAAACTAAAAATAAAGATTGTCTGGTACTGATTTGTCAATAATACATTCTCACCATAAACATTAAAACAAACTTCACTGCTAGAAGGAGAGGACCTCTGAGTAAGGTGAAGTGAGTACACTGATAGTTATGCAAACAGGCAGTTTGCTAAACAAATAGTTATTAAGAATGGTGCAATGGATTTTCATGACAAACTATTTTCTATTAACTATTTTAGCATGTAACTAACACTGACATGGAATAACTCTGAAAGTTACCAACTGTACAACCTCTGCCTTAATACAAAAATAATCACATCAGAAACATGACATAAATTAATCAGTTTGAAATGATATTGCAATAACAAATTTCCAGGTTAAGGGAACAATCGTTCGTCATATAACTTACATTATTTTAACAATAATTCCAAATAATCTGCAAATAAGACTGACTGAAATACTATGTGCATGGCAATAATACAATGTCAGTACTTCTCACTGACCAATTTTAACTTGAGAATTTAAATGTATGCAGTATAAACCTGCATAAAAATCTGCAGACAGGCAGTGAAAATAAAACTTTACTCATCAGGCTGACTCTAGCTCTGAAAAAAAGTAAATCTGAGAAGCTGATATTTCTTACAGTTAACTTTATTTTAATAAAATGCATGTTTAACCTTTTTTTGACAAAATATTGAAATTAAAAACCTCATTTTCAAGAGACAGTACAGTTTTTCTATTAACAGTCACAACAACAAAATAAATAGAAAAAAAGAAAAACATTATGAGTGTTACCAAAATATGTGAAAGAAATTAGATTCATCAACAATATTTGGAGCCAAGGGCCTATTGATTTTTACTGGGAAGAACTCAAAAATGATGAGCTAACAACAGGACTCTCAGTCTGATTAATACTGGACATTTAACAACTACTTTTTAGACAGGATTTCTTGAACGTCTAAAAAAATGTAAATTGATCTAACCCATGATCTAAAAATGTAGTGTTAATGTCAGACTTAAAAAGCTGAAGTTGCAAGCTAAGCTGTTACTGAAATGCTTTTCTGTCAGACAGTATTAATTATTTCTTATTTTCTACCAAGTAAAGTCAGTGAGCAATCTATTCTGTTTTGATTATTGGCATACAATTCAAAAGCAGTAATAATAATAATAATAATAATAATAATAATAATAATAATAGGCAGAAAACTATCTTACAATGCTAATGGAAATTAAAACCCCTTTGGTTGAACAAAATTTTCTAAAAATTATTCCATCACTTTTAGTTGAGACCACCTTGCACTGTTTGGTAACACTTTATTTGAAGGGGGGTGAATAAGACTGTCATGACACTGTCATTAACATGACATAACACCTGTCATAAACATGAATTAGCCTTCATGAATATTTATGACTGTTGTCGTAAAGCGTCATTCGGTAAATTATGACACTTTTAATGCAAAGTTGACATTATTCAAAATGTCTTTGTTATGACAACTTGACATTAACCAAGAAATCATTACTGATATAAATTTGTTATAAAAGTATTACTGATTGTACTTTAAAAATTAGGTAACTTTATGTTATTAAAGATAAAGTTTAATCAGTAATGATTTCTTGGTTAATGTCAAGTTGTCATAACAAAGACATTTTGAATGTCAACTTTGTATTAAAAGTGTCATAATTTACCGAATGACGCTTTATGATAACAGTCAAATATTCATGAAGGCTTATTCATGTTCATGACATGTGATATGTCATGTTTATGAAAGTGTCATGTCAGTCTTATTCAACCCCCTTCAAATAAAGTGTTTCCCACTGTTTCAGTGTTTGATGCCTTATTCTTTTGACAGCTGTACTGTTGTAAGTCTTTCTATTGTGACACCTGCTATGAAATTTTAACAATAAATGTGATATTTTATTGATAAAAAGGCACTTGACTTTTTTTCAGGAAAAAAAAATATTAGTCTTGGTCTGATAGTAGTCTTTTTTTTCTTCCAGACATTAGATGGATTCATTTTTGTGGTTGCTCCAGATGGAAAAATAATGTATATCTCAGAGACAGCATCAGTGCACTTGGGTCTATCACAGGTTAGTTTTTAAAAGTCTGTTCTGTTACCCAATGGTCCTTTCACATCCCAGGTCAGAGCTGAATGTTCCCTTAAACAGGTAGAGTTGACAGGAAACAGCATTTATGAATACATTCATCCATCAGACCATGATGAAATGACAGCGGTCCTCACAGTCCACCAACCTTACCATTCCCATTTTATACAAGGTAATCTCTCATGCAACCCTGCAGTTTTGCAAAATGTGAGTCATGAACTTACTGCACAACATGAATAACTTCACAGTTTATACGTCTTTGCAGAGTATGAGATGGAGCACTCCTTCTTCCTAAGAATGAAATGTGTCCTGGCTAAAAGAAATGCTGGTCTCACCTGTGGAGGCTACAAGGTACAACAGTCACACTGCTGAACCACTCATAACGCTGCTTGGTTCTTTGTTCTTTTATGTACCCCACAACCTACAGGATGAGGACACCTGGAGTAAGACAAAGGGATGTATATTAGGCTCCCAAGAGAATATGAAAAATTAAAAAAGCAATATATTGAAACTTAAAATTTGTTATACCATCTTCATTTAGATTTCAAATTGTTGTGAGATGAAAATTTATTTCTTGCAGGAAATGAAACAGACATCTCTCAAGACATGATGAAACAATACTGAAGCAGTGTCAACTTTGAAAAACTAATTTATGTGTTTTAATAGTTACATTTTATTTTAAAAATGTCATGATGGGTGTTATTTATAGCCTTCTCAATAATCAATAGAAAAATCTTTATTGGCATTTCAGCAACCAAACCCTTTTTATAACTCCTTTTATTCCACTGGTAGTTTGATTATCTTATTGGTGATGAGCTTGCAAGGCCTTCCTGACATTTTCCTACTGTGCGCCACAATTATTTAATAGATGCTGGAACACTAATGATAAAAAGCCCACAAACCCTTTATTTGTACAAGCTTATCTATCTTTTTCATTTGCAGTCTGAACATGGTTTAATTTTTTAGCATAAACTAAAAAATTTTCCTAAAAATCCCTTTATTTATATAGCACAAGAACAAGAACAATTACACAAGAATTAGTACAATGTCTAGTTTACTGTAGTAAAAAATACTTTAGTGGCGATCGCTCTGCCAAGGAAATTTAGTTTTGACATACTTCATTATAAAGCATGTCAACACTTTATAATACTTTATAAACCTAACGTCCCCATCATTTTTTTTTTTGCCTCTGAGTCATTTTATTTTGAGTATTGGGCTGAATCCTGAAGCCCAAGGCCCAATATTTCTAAAATACATTTAAAAAACAAAGAGTAAAGAAAAAGACAAAGGATCTACTTTATTTATCATTTAACAGAACACTGAGGCTGTGTAAGTCAAGAGCAGATATTTTGTTTTGGTGCAGCAGTTTTGGTTAAAATTAACATTTGACAAAATGAAGAACTATATTTACATTGTATTTAATTTAGAACAGGATCACCAGTACCGTTTGCATGTATGATTCCACTGCAAAGCGGAATGAGTGGGTCTCCTCTCTGCACTGCTGCATCAAGTTCTCTGTAAGTGTGAGGGGCTCACTGCCACTCTCAACTCTCGTTCTAAGTGCAGTACTTGATAGGTATTTTCTTAACCTACATACAAAAGAACCACAGACAACATTAGTCAGTTTTCAACGAAGCTTTTGCAAAAGAAGACACAGCAAACTACTTCTACAAGCTGCTCACCATGTGTTCTGAAAACCTTCAGTTAGAGCTTGTCTTTTATTAGCAGGGAAGGGAGAGATACAAAGGAAAAGCAAGTTTTGTCTCTGCACATGGGTCATCTAGTCCTTTCTCATGAGGGCGATTTCCCACCAGGACGGGGGAACATTCTGTTGTTAGAGATAATCATGCTACAGAGATATTCTGTAAGTGTGGGTCACAAGTTTCAACATAGCGTTGGTTCGCACATAGTAAAAAGCTAATATCCATCCATCCATCCATCCATCCATCCATCCATCCATCCATCCATCCATCCATCCATCCATCCATCCATCCATCCATCCATCCATTCATTCATTCATTCATTCATTCATTCATTCATTCATTTTCTGCCACTTTTCCGGGATCGGGTCACGGGGGCAGCAGCTTCAGAAGGGAGGCCAAGACTTCCCTCTCCCCGGCCACTTCTTCTAGATCTGCCGGGGGAATCACAAGGCGTTCCCAGGCCAGCAGAGAAACATAGTCTCTCCAGCGTGTCCTGGGTCTTCCCCGGGGCCTCCCCCCAGTGGGACGTGCCTGGAACACCTCACCAGGGAGGCGTCCATCCTAACCAGATGCCCAAGCCACCTCAACTGACTCCTCTCGACGTGGAGGAGCAGCGGCTCTACTCTGAGTCCCTCCCGGATGACCGAGCTTCTCACCCTATCTCTAAGGGAGCTAAAACCTTTAAATGAAAAACAAAATAGTAATGTAAGAGTGATAACACATAATCATTCTAACAGTACTATCAAGGCCTTTTTTTTAATTTAGTTGCCAAAGTCTAAAATAAACCAGAGAAAGCACTCTTTTGAAAAAAGTTGCTAAAAGGATCTGATACAGCAACAGTGCAATTTGCACTGCTGCAAATTGCTGGCAATTTGCAGCAGTGCTTTGCTTCAAGCTGATGCTATATTCTGCTTCGCTTTACGGCCGTCACTACTGCAAATTGCCAGGCACATGTTGTTTCGAGACAGTCTGACTCTGTATCACGTAACTGTATATACTGACTGTTATTCAAGTCAACGTTTATTTATATAGCACTTTTGAAACAGCCTCAGGTGACCAAAGTGCTTCACAACAAACATCAGAAAAATAGAAATAAAATTAAATTTAGTATTATTCCATGTGTGCCTAAAATGAATATGTATCCGATCCCTGATTGGGATTAACACCGGATTCTGAAACCACGTGATCAGGCCAATTTTTGATGACGTTATCAGATTGGGACATCACTAATTAGATTTCAGTTATGTTTAAATATTAGTACAGCACACTTAGAATCTACTCTTTATAATGGCACTGTGCCATAAATGAAAGCCATTGTCAATAATTCAATTATCATTAACAACCTAAATGTATTGTTAATACATTTGATTTAGTTATTATGTAGGTGGATTTGGTATAGTTTTGTACTTCCTGCATAAAAGAAACAAGTGCTGCTGTGTTTGAGTCTAACTTCACGTCTAACTATAGATATTGACAAAAGTGTCATCATTGTTGCTATTGATCAACAAGGATTAACTCTAAGATGCCATTTTATTAATGGTCGATATAAATAAATGAACTGGAATATTGATAAAAACCACAAGCATGCTCTTTTTTTCTTATTCTTCTGAATTAAAGTGCCTGATGTATGATTTTGTGTGTGACTCCTCTGGTCCAGGTGATCCACTGCAGTGGCTACCTGAAGATCCGTCAGTACTGCCTGGACATGTCTCCATTTGACGGCTGCTATCAGAACATCGGTCTGGTGGCCGTTGGTCACTCGTTACCACCCAGTGCTGTAACAGAAATCAAACTGCACTGCAACATGTTCATGTTCAGAGCCAGCCTGGACATGAAACTAATCTTCCTTGACTCACGGTGTGCTCTTTCTTCTATGGTGAAGACAATCTGCCTGTACACACTTGGATACATATTAATGTCAATTATTGTGACTAAAGTATAATATTATTATAATTATTAATACTTTAGTAATTAGTAATTATTATATAACTTGTTGATGTGCTGAACTTACATGAGGACATAAAACTGCAATGTAAAAAGTTTGAAGGTGGTTTAACTAGAAAATGAAGGTCCACCTACTGCCTTGAAAATGCAATTTAAGTCAACAAGAAAATTGCATTGGTTTTAACTCAGAAATTAAAGTTCATGAAGTTGGTTTAACAAGAGGCAAGTTGTCTAAACATTGGTTTTTAAATTCACTAATCTTGAATTGTGAGTTTTAACTTAATGCTGCAAATTAAACCAAATAATTATTTCACAATATGCAAGAAAAAACTGCCCTCACCTGAAAAGCATATATTTCTCTATTATGTTCACTCACAATATCAAGTTAAAATAACTACTTATTTTACTTTAGAATAATTCAAATTCTTGTTTCAAATTGCATGAACAAAATTTCATGAATTTTATTAAACATCACAATGAATTAAGCTCAAAAACATTCAGTGTTAACAGGACATTATCCTTAAGCTTTGGAAACTGTCAGTCGCATTAAAGTAAACATTTGCCTTAATAACACACAAAAGCCAGATCAATGTAACACACTTCCATCTCAATCACGGAGGCACACAAGATACAAAAAACATGCCACTAAGCACACTGGGAAATAGTTCTCACTCCCATCTTTTTCGTCTTTCATTTTTTTAAGTGCTAACCTAAAAACTCTAGTCTATTCAACACTTGGAGGTTTGACAAAATTAATAAAAAGTTAACACAACTTCGTTTACCCTTTATTCTTCAGACTCATACATTTAGGTTCAAAATCTAAAACTCGCTAAATTTATTTGACTTAAAGAGTTGAAGATGGTACACACAACTAAAAGTGGCTCAAATGTTTTACCGTGTGTTATCAGAGCTAAATGGTTTGTCTTTTCAAAAGAAGTAACAGCTCCCTTTAATGTGGGTCATTCCATGTAATGAAAAGCATTCTTGTGTTGTCTTCTTCAGAGTTGCAGAGCTAACAGGCTATGAGCCTCAGGATCTCATAGAGAAGACTCTCTATCATCATGTCCACATCTGTGACTCTTTCCACCTGCGCTATGCACATAATTTGTGTAAGTTAGGATTTTATTCAATTTCTTCTTCTGTAGAGAACAAAATCATTTACAGCTTTAAAATGCTGTTGGATATTACATTACTTTTTATTATACAAGGACATTAAGAAATATATACAATTTTTCATTTAATTGCTGTTTGTTACTAGAAGTAGTTGCTGCGGCACTGCACCAAACTGATTATGAGTGTCATGACTTTGTGTATATGTTTGTGTGTCATTTTCAAACATCTCCAGCCAGTTGAGATTCAGAGAGCAAGTTAATATTGTAGTACTAGTTTTATAGCTCATCTATGTTATCTTTGATTGTCTTCGCCATAAATACCCATCAGATCTAATGTACTTTTATTGTGTGTGTTGATCTTCACCACATGGCTGACTCCTTTCCTTCTCCTTGTAGTATTGGTGAAAGGTCAAGTCACAACAAGATACTACCGTTTCTTGGCCAAACAAGGTGGTTGGGTCTGGGTTCAGAGTTATGCAACTATTGTGCACAACAGCCGCTCATCCCGACCTCACTGCATCGTCAGCGTCAACTATGTCCTTACGTAAGTGTTGTTCCAGCTCCTGGAACCATACTTTTTAATGTCTGTTAGAGTCAATTGTGCTATGTTAAGAAGCTGGTGAGATGTTTCCTCGCAAAAGACTTGGTGAAACACTGAGTTGTTTGAGTTTGATCTTTAAAAAAAAGAGTGTTACTCTTTTTACGTGGAGTGTTGCTTTGAATTCAAACTTGATCTGAAACTTTAGTGTAGAGATGTTTACATTCAACTTGCACTCTCTTCCTGAGGTTTCTTGATGATGCGCATTCCTTCCTGAATAAGAATGGACCAAAGAAACAGCTGGCAGAGCAAGTTCTAAGAGTGAAATTTAAGACTAGGCTTAAAAAGACCTTAAAGTCTTACTTCAATTTCTAAATTAAATATTGAGTACAGTTTTTTAATAAATAAATTAGTCAGATTAGAAACAGAAATGATAAGTTAAAGAAGCAGCTGTTTGTTGATGCATCACTCAGAATGGTTTGCACTTTGATGCAAACATCAAAGTGCAAACAGTGCTAAGTCTGATACAGACTTAGCACTGTATCAGAGTTCTTTCATTGGTATTTTGATTAGGTGTGTTGAAAGTTTCATTTGATGTCTTTAAAAATCATTTAGTTGATTCTTAAAACGGTTAAGAATCCAGAACTTGCCTCATGCAGGCAGTATTATGTAAAATTGACTTTTTCTTAGCTTTGCATTATGTTATGATGTTATTCCATCATCAAAAATATATTTGGAGTGTTGCTTTGATTCTTTCATGCAAGTTTGAGAAATCCTTTAATCTCCTTGGCAACCATTCCACCTCATAGATCAGCCTTCCCCTGCAACTCCCCCACTCTGCCTCTTCAGACTAGCGGCAGCAGCAATTAGCAGACACCTGGTGGAAATGTGCATCTACTGAGCTCATCATACAAACTACTTCTGAGCAGAACGCTGGTGAAAACATTGTTAAATTTTTTTATGAACGAACATTGCGAATTGCTTCCTGAAGGTGGAGTGTCGGAAATAAGAGGAACCTAACCCTAACCCTGGAAAATATATAATACTGCCCCTTTAAATGACTGTCAGTGAGAAAGTATTGATGATAAGCAAGGAAATTAAATATTTCTTTTTATTGCAGATGTGAAACTATATAAGTAAACTGCACAAGCAGTATGTGTGAACATAGTGGGTGTAAGATGTCGGATATACCCACAGAGTAGACAGGGATGGCTGAGATTACTGTGTACTGTCATTCAATGATTGAGAAGATAATGAGTAAATGTAATGAATTTATGCAAACCCTTGCTGAGAACCAATTAACTATAAGATAATTTTAAAGAATTACATGCATTCTGCAAGCAAGTATTTAGCAAAAACATGGCAAAAGTTTTAAACTCATTTCTGTTCATGTTGTTTTCATTGCTCCTGCTGAAGATTAAAGCAAACTTGAAACAGAGAAAATTGCAGATATAACTGCAGATATTCTTCTGTTACCTCAAAGTGCAGCCTCTGTTACAGAGTTTGCTGAACATGCTTATGTGTTGGCTTTGACATTAGTGGGAGCTCTCCTATGGCATATTCTCCTGGCAGCTCAGTTGTAAATATGGGGGCAGAAGCTGAAGACTGTCTGCAGATGGAGGCTGCTTTTATCTAGCAGTAGCAGTTCAGTTGTAATGTGTTTTCATGCAGATTCAAAAATTAACCAGCAATCTTTTTCTACATAGTCCATACTGCTATATGTGGAAGAGATATTTTTCTGTACTGTTACTTCTTTCTTTTATCCCCATTCCAATGAGCATATTTCACAGATGTACAAGGGAACACAAGGACAAATAAAGCCCATAAAACCCTCCAGTAAGCAGCATGGCTGGCTGCATTCAGAGGTGGAGAACAGCTTGGCACATGTTTTCTCCACCTCATACAATAAATTCCAACAGCTTTGTGTTGATAGCCTTCTAATTAATAGGTTGTAAAGTTGATGAGTGTTTATGGGCTCCAACTTACTGTACCATGAGTGAATCCTTATTTTCCTCCTCTCAATGTTCTTACTATTTCTCTAAACTGAACTGAAAATGAAGCATTTTTCTATCAGTGTTTCTCATTTCTCTCTTTGCATAACACATAGAAGAAAAGATAAAGCAGTGCAGTAGATAGTGATATCTAGAGCTAATTTGCACAGTAGCTTAAGAGTATGCAGTGTTCGATAACGCAGGGGATGGAGGCACTTCACCTGCATGTGAACTCCTGTTGTGTGTTTAGCCCTGATAGCCTCCACTCTCATGCCCCAGGTTTGGAGATCTTCCACAGCCACCATTTCTCTCACAGTCAAATGGAGAGACTTTATGTCAAGCTTAGTAGAATAGGTTATTGTTATGTTATGCCTTTTGGTCTTCCTAAAGTAATATTGGCTCCATTACAGCTACTTCAGAAAAGCTGCTAGAATGCTGTTTACAAACAGGAAGACAGCTTGCATCCCAACAATCCTAAAGTCTCTGCATTAGTTGCCTGTCAGTTTTAGAATTTAGAATATATTTTAAGGTGCTCTTACTGATATAATATGATATATATATATATATATATATATATATATATATATATAT